AAAAAAGTACTCCAGAGTGTTGTTCAGCATGGGGGTGAGTAGAAAATGAAGGCTAATCATGTTTTGGGTGTACTATTCCTTTAACATGCATTGCAAAGTAAGCAAGAGGAATAATCGTGCAGAAACCACTGAATTATTGCAACCCTAAGCCTATCATAATTAAGTAAAGCCATATCATCTAAGTTTTTCTCAGACATTGTCATGGGTTGATTCTGGGTCCTCGCACACCTGGAAAAACTTTTTTCTTTCTTTTTTTGTTTACTTTTTATTACTGCAGAGGCAGAAATTCAACATCTGCAAATGGTTTAGAGAAAATATGACAAGTCTGAGTATGTCGAGGTGTGTCTTTTCCAAATAAAACCAGGTGCATTAAAACACCCGTCAGGTTATTTGACCTAGCACCTGTATAAACGTATTTAGACAAGTCTTTTTCAATCTGATAATAAAGTTTTCAACATGTAAACATAGCTTACATTTCAATATCAGCAGGAAGTAGGGGCATCAACTCAGCAAAGAGTATTGCCTCTTTAACTGTGTATAAATTGAATAAATATTTGAAATATTTACTTCTTGGTTATGTTGTATCCTGATGTCGCTCCTAGAACCCCAAAAATATCATAAACCACAATCTAATCTAAACCACAATCTAATAATGTTTGTTTTGGCATAAAATGGCTCAGATATGTTGAAGTCTTCACACAGCTGAGGAACTTTTATACTGATAAACTTTGCTAGATGCTTGTAGGCAAGATTAGCACTGAATCTATACATTTTTCTATTTATCCTTTTCAAATAAATTTTTTCCTTTCCAATAAAATGTTTTAGTCCTTGTTTTGCAAGGTTTTATCTGGACTTTTGACTGGTATGGTTTATATTATTGGCTGCTCAGCAATGAGGTTCTGGGTTTGATACCCTAACCCTTTCTGCGTGGAGTTTCCATGTTCTCCCTGTGCATGCGTGGGTTCTCTCTGGGTACTCCGGCTTCCTTCCACAGTCCAAAAACATGACTGTTAGGTTGATTGGCTTCTCTAAATTCTCCTTAGGTGTACGTGTGTAGTTGTTTATCCTGTGTTTCCCTGCGTTGCACTGGCGACCTGTCCTTGGTGTCTCCAAATTACTGTTATGCGAGGAAAAAGCCAAATGCAAACCACTTTTAAAAATGCATTTACATTTGCCCACTATAAAGGAAAGCACCGGTGGGCCTGATCGATTCAAACTACAAGCTGGAGGGTATAAAATAATAACTGCATACACAGCTAAATACAGACGTCCGGGGCATTACTGTGAAACCAAACTGGATGTGTGAACAGGTTAACTAAGAGCGATGGGCTGACGTGCACGATGAATAAACTCCTGCTGCATCGACTCAGTTTAACAGCCAACGCAATAAGAAGAGCAGACCAGGGGAGGTAAAGCTGGGGGCAACATGCAGGAACAGAAAGAGTCAAATTAAAGAAGGACTTACAAATGGAGCTTAGAGAATTCTATTAAAAGATCAAGACACAGTAAAGGGTTAATACAAAAAAATGAAACCATGCAAAAAAGTAAAAAAAAACAAAAGAAAAACTGAAAAAACGGAACTGATTGTATCAGGAAAATGTCGACATTATTTCCGCTTTGTGGTCGAGATATTGTTAGCAGCTGTCAATAACATCAAAGAAGTCTTTTTTTCCTGTGTGCTGTTATCAGCAGGCCTGAAATAAACCAGAACTCTGTGAAAATAACTTTTTCTGTTCCTTCATGCCACCGCTTATTGAACTATTAGCAAATGTTTTCACAGCAAATGTGACTTAGATCAATGGTTAATTTGTTGCGTTTTAATATTCATAGAAGACAACTAATTGATGGTTTGCTGTGGTACACAGATGAATCACCCTTTCTAGATTTACTCCTACTGCTGCCGCTGGTATTAATTTGCACATTATGTTACTGGAATAACCTGAGAAGCGTCCACCTAGAACAACATGCAGAAACATTTAACTACTAGTATCAGTTGTAGCTTGACTTATCGAGAACTTTCCACTTTGAACTTTTTATTCCAAGTCTGTTTATCACAAATGTGAGCAAAGCTCTGCTCTCAAAATAGGTTATGGGAGAAAACTGACTCCTAGTAAGCTATTACCTCTTTCAGTTGATGAAAAGATACTATTGTTCATTGGCATGTATTGAGAATGATGACGCAAAATGCGCAACCAGTCTAAAATTACACGTTATCTTTTCTCACGCCCAGAAAAGGGTACCCAAACGTACATGGCCGGTTCTAGACAGGGGCTGTTATGGCCCCCGTACTGAAAACATAATACTCAAAGTAATTCTAATGATGATATGCGCTAAAACAGACATGATTATTGATTTTTTTTTCTTTACAAATTCTGTTTTACTATTTATTTAAAAACAATAAGGTGATTGTTTCAGTGCAATTGAGCCTTATTGAAACCTATATCTAATAAGCTTATAAAAGAGCTTGCTGGGGTGTAGTAGGTTTTGAGCGGTCGCAGATTTTAATTAATAAATGGTACAATTTATAATCTAAGGGTACGTTTATTCATTTACGTTACTTTAGTCAAAAAGCGAAGCTCTCGATTTACCGGTCGATCTACGTTCCTACCCTCATCTATGGCCATGAACTCTGGGTCATGACCGAAAGAACGAGATCGTCGGTCGAAATGGGTTTCCTCCGTAGGGTGGCTGGGCTCTCCCTTAGAGATAGGGTGAGAAGCTTGGTCATCCGGGAGG